TTCAACTTGTAAATTTGATAATATCAATTTAGTTTAACAAAATATTTTCCCAATTGAAATGGTTTTGACCCACAACTTTGAAACAAATTCTGCCCAAAAAACACATTTTTAGCCTGTAGCTTCCAACTTTGAAAACTTATGAAAAATTCATTTGACATCCAAATTGGGAAAACATAATTTATTTTGGAAGTAAACATATGAGAGTGTAAAACTGGAAATTTAAGCCATGATCCAATGTCAAAAGTTAGTGAAATAAATCATCTAAAAATATGTTTTCCAGCTATAATAAAAACATGGACAGCAAATAGTTTCGGATTTTAAAAAAAATTTAGAAATACTTTAAAATCGTGAAAAAATTTTGCGTAGTGTAAAACCCATGGGGGAAGTTCTAGTAAAAATTTCAAGGCAATTGAAGCACTACAGCTCCATATAAAAAATTTATTTCCGGACTAAAAAGGAAAAGCTTCAAATTTCCAACAACTAGCTTGCAACTTCAAAAATTCATAACTAATTCATTTTAAATCCAAATTACATGAAACCAAAACTAAATGAAAGCTAATTGAGTAAGTTAAAGCAGTTTATGGACAAAATACAAGTCCTTCTCTTCCATGCATGTAAAACACTCAATAATGATATAAAAATACTTCAAAATAATAGATCAATACCTCACTAGAGAATTGAATCTCTAGATACCAAAGCAAAACTAGGAGTTAGGCTAGATCCTTCAAGGGTTTTGAAGAGGAGGATGAGGGGAACAAAAAGTATTCTAAGCTTTATGATCTAAAGTAAGTGGAAAGGCCTCAAATATCAAGGTCAATGCCTAAGGCTTCAAGCTCCATCCATGGAGGCTAGGGTTTTCTTGTAAGGAAGATAATGAAATAATGTGGTTAAGTGTGAGTGGAGGAAATAGAAATTCTCCACTCACTATGTGCTTTTGCACCATGGTCAACACACACATCTATGGTCAATTGCACAAAAATCCTCCTTTAAAACCATAATCCCAAAGTGGCCCAAAGATATTTGCAAGACTAAATTTGAACCTACACTTGTCACCAATCTATGGCTCCTTCCTAGGCTTAATCCCACACCTACACTTGTCAACCATCCAAGCCAACAAATGCACCAATCCTAGGCCAACAAGTGGGTGAATCCTCACCCTCCAAATGTCATCATCCAATGCATTAAAGTGTTTCCACACAAATGTCAATAAGTGGACCAATGAGAGTGGGACACTTGTCACACTTTTCAAAAATTGCAAAAAGGTCCTTTTTGAAAATATCTTCCAAATTTCATTGCAAAATGGTCCCCAAGATAAAAAATAATTACTTTATTTAATTACACTAAAACCCCACAAGTTAAGAATAATTACACTAAAGTATGCATTAATGCCCCTTTATAAAAGAAGTAAGCAATCAACATGCTTTTCTAGAAAAGTAAAAATACCACTATCACGGAAATCAAATATCATGAATGCATGCAAAACCGGAATCAAATCCGAGCACAAAGTGTGAGGTTGTGCAAGGAAAAGGGATAAACGAAAAAAAGACAAAATGTGAATAGTGTTCGGAAAAATAAAATATGGAAATGACACAATCCCCAAAGGAAGTTGTCAATCCAAGGAAAAAAAGTCTCGGAAATCATTCCAGAACACTCGAGATGACATCAAGTGATGAAAAACCAAACCCAAAAAGGAAAAGACAACAGAAAAAAAATATCCGTTAAAATCTGAGAAAAAGAAAAAGAAGAAAAATGACCGGGTCATTACAGTGCAAAGTGGCATTTTTTTGAGTTCTTGCTCTTTTCTGATTTCGTTTTCTTTCACGTGGCCAGGTAAAAAACATGATTTTAGGGAGGTTTTCTTCTTTGTGGTTTAAAAAAAAAAAATCTTTTTGATGCCGAAAATAACTCACAGATCTGGAAAATCTAGTGCACGAACTTTTTTCAGGTTTTTCCTAAAAAAGTTCTGATCTAAGGGGCATTTCGGGTATTTCACTTAAAAAATAAAAACTTTTCCTCGTTTAAATTCCAAAAATCTGTGTAGGCCCTGTACATACCTGAAACCTGAAAAGTATGATTTAAGGAAACTTTGAGGCTTCATATCTTCTTCGTCTGGACTCCAAATCAAGTGATTTTTAAGTCTAAGTTTATTAATTTTTGCTTGTCAATCCAATGGTATGCAAGGTTGTATCCAATTCTATCTAAAAGAACCATTTTAACCCCTTGTCAAGTACCCTTGCCGCATTTATTTGAAACCCAAAAGTCTAATTTTATGAAACTTTGAGGCGTCGTATCTTCTTCGTCCGGACTCTGAATCAAGTGATTTTTTAGTCTAAGTTTATTAATTTTTGGTTATCTATCCAATGGTATGCACGGTTACATCCAATTCTATCTGAAAGGAGCATTTTACTTCTTGTCAAGTACCCTTGCCGCATTGATTTGAAACCCAAAGTCTAATTTTATGAAACTTTGGAGTTTCATATCTTTTTCTTCAGGGCTCCAAATCAAGTGATTCTTGATTCTATATATATTAATTTTTCCTTTTTTATCTCATCGTATGCTCAGTTGCATCCAGTTTTATTTGGAAAGACCATTTTACCCTTAGTCAAGTACCAATCCAATTTTATAATCTTAGCTTCCGCATTCGATTCTTTTGAGTTCTGTGACTTCATGGAAGGTCACCTTGGCATCTTAGGGATGTCATATATCCCTAGATACCTTATTTCTATTTTCATTTTCACATTCTGGATCCGTTTCGAGTCATCTTACGGGTCATCACAGGACGTACTAGCTTGAAAAACCAGGGTTGTCATAAGTGGAATCAAAGCTCTTAGGTTCGAATACCTTAGACAACGGGTTTTAGGTGTATATCATTCTTATGTTACCATGCTCTATAGGTTTAATTGCTTCTTGATAACATGTTTTGAATTGATAACATGTCTGTTTACTTATGTGGCAACTTGTTTGGAAGCTTACCTTAACCGCTTTAGCATATGATTTATGCTTGTCTATCTTAGTATATGATATATGCTTATTTATCATAATAAGTTGTATATGTTTGTTTGCCTTAGCATACTATATATACTTGTAGGCTTTAGTACATTGTCCATGCTTGTCTGAGTTATCATGTTATTTACGCTTGTTTGCTTAGCATGTTATATATGTATGTCTGCATTAGCGTGTCATATGTGCTTGTTCATCTTAGCATGATCATATATAGTATATCATCATATTTTACGTTCTCTTTCGTAAACATTGACATGCCTTATGTGATTTTTACTACCTATTTGAGTAGGCAGTCCGTTACTATGTTGTATACTAGCTGTTTACTTTTTTTGTCTTACTTTGACATTGCATGTTTTTCCAGCTTGGTTACTAGAGATTCTTGGGGTCTGCCGTATCCCTTGGATATATTCTTGCTCTGAGGAGTTTCTTCCTTGGGCAGGAGAAATTCATTCTGTAAGGAACCCACGACGGGAACCTTCTTGTCCCTTTTGTCGATTTGGTTATTTCATGACCTTGGTGTTATGGTTGATGTGAGTAAGGCTCAGGTGAGCATAGAGTTGCAGTTTTTGTCTGGTGGAGTGAAACGCGGGCCAGGGAGGTTCCGTTTCATTTCCTTTTCCTTTATGGCTTCACAACGTGGTCAGGGAGTTTCCGAGGTGTTGGTACGAATCTTGGGGTTTCGTGGTAACCAGGATGTGATGACATCATAGGGGTCTTGCTTCTAACGTCATGGGATGATGAGTTGGAGTTGACTCGAGCCCTTTCTTGGGAAGTTAAAAGTTATCTTGTGAACCTCAGGGCGAGGTTCTCGTGTCTTGCCATCTAAGAGTAATGGTTTTTGGAATTGGATAGGTATGTTGACTTAGGATCCTCCTTAAGTTACCTTCGACAGCTCTTACGGGCTACGGTTGGGATGTGAGTGGTTTCATGTAATCAATTGCATTGGTGCAATTAATTACTTTCCCTTGTTATTTTAGGGTTCTATTAGGATCCTGCTCAGTTCTCATCGAATTTGTCAGTATCTTAAGTTGAGTTATCTATTGATGTCTCGTAATGGCTAATGTTGGAACTATCCATTGCGTCATTGTTTCATTTTGTGTGGCATTAGGATTCCACCTTGGGTATGAGCTAGTCTTGGGAAAGACTTGTAGACTCCTTATTTTGGGAACCTTAGTGTTCATTCTGGGAGACGATTCCTTTCCTCACAGTGAAAGATTGGACCCATCCGAGTTTTGGGATTCACTTTCAGTGAGTTCGCCCTTTTGAAAGGCATTTCATCCCTTCTTGCTTATGACTTACAGGATTGTTAATTGCATAGTACTTTTTACATATTTGTATGCCTTGTTGTTTTGAGCATGCCTTATAAACATGTTTAGGATATGTGACCATCTGGTGATTATGTGATGATATAGATGATGTGTGTTCTACTTACTATATCTGTTTAACCTGCTAGTGCCATTGGTGGTGTATAGCTTGTCATTGATTATTTGACCCCTATGTGGTAGGTGGCTTGTTTGATTTACCTTATGTGTATTGTGTGCTTAGTACTAAGGTGTTATTTGATTTATGCAATTTAATTTTTGTGAGTATGTACTATGTTAGTATCTGACTTATACTGGTTTATCTTTCCTACATTTATGTTGGGGTTCTGTTAGTTACAACCATACTAAGGCCTAATTTAATATCACATTACAAGTTGATTCCATGTTAGTTATAACCATGTGAATCAACTTGTAATTCAGGCTGGAGGTTCATAGGCCTAGGCACCCTAGGGTCGTGTGTATCCAATTGTCCCTGAGTCATCTTCAGGACCTTCAGTGGTGAAGGGAATGTTTCCAGTTTTTGGATCTTGGGCTTGTGTTTTATTTGATTCCAGTGCATCTTATTCATTCATTTTATACTCATTTACACTTGCATCGAGATTGGAGATTAGTTTTTTGGATCGAGCGTTATGTGTTGATACACCGGTTAGTGGTTCATTGTCTTTGAGTAGAGTAATGCAGGATTGTACTATTGTGATTGTTGGACGGACCCTTATTTTTTATCTTATCATTCTTGAGATGACGGGATTTGATGTCATTCTCGGGATGGATTGGTTATCCACTTTTCATGCCACAATTGATTGTTGCATAGGTAAAATTTTAGTTTCTATGCCTGAGGGTGATTGTTTCTTCTTTATTGGAGATCGGGGTGATTTCCATGTTTTAGCTTGTTATGGTATTCATGGTTGGGATCATTATGATTTCTTCTTGGCTAGCATCCTAGCTGAAGAAGATGGTAATGTGGGGACAGTGTTTCTGTTGGTTGTTTGTGATTTCTTAGATGTGTTCCCGGATGATTTCCCTGATTTACTTCCTAAAAGAGAGATTGAGTTTGTAATCGACTTGATGCCTTGTACTGCGCTGATTTCTATGGCACCGTATCGAATGGCACTAGTAGAGTTGGAGGAGTAAAGAAATAGCTTGATGAGTTGAGCTTAAAGGGTTTTATTCGGCCTATTGTTACACCGTGGGGTGCGCCAGTGTTATTTGTTAAGAAAAAAGATGGTTCTATTAGGTTGTGCATTAATTATCAAAAATTGAATCATGCAACCATTAAGAACATGTATCATTTATCACAGATTAATGATTTCTTTGATCAGTTTAGGGGAGTTATTTGTTTTTCCAAGATTGATATAAGATCTGGTTACTACCAGTTACGAGTTCGGAATGAGGGTATTCCAAAAACAGCTTTCCGTACATAGTATGGTCATTATGAGTTCATTGGGATGCCTTTTGGTTTGACTAATGCACTAGCTGCTTTCATAGACATGATGCACCCTGTCTTCCACAGATATCTAGACCAGTTTGTAGTAGTGTTTGTGGATGACATTCTTGTGTATTCACGATCTCGGGAGGATCACGAGATCCATTTGAGGATAGTGTTACAAATGTTAAGAGAGCACCATTTGTATTCCAAGTATTCAAAGTTTGAATTTTGGCTACAAGAAGTGAAGTTTTTTGGACATGTTGTTTTAGGTAATGGTGTGTCAGTTTATCCTTTGAAGATAGAAGTGGTTCTAAATTGGGAATGTCCCAAGAATATGTTTGAGATTCAAAGTTTTCATGGCTTAGCGGGTTATTACCACAGGTTCGTGAGAGACTTTTCTCGCTTAGCTATTCCTATAACTTGGTTAACTCGAAAGGGAATCAGATTTGATTGGACTGAAGCTTATGAGTCATCTTTTAACGAGTTAAAAATAAGATTGACTACGACTCCAGTGTTGGTGGTGCCTGTGCATAGCTTAGGTTATGTTATCTTCTGTGATGCTTCTCGGGATGGTTTAGGTTGTGTGTTGATGCAGGGTGGTAAGGTAGTGGCTTATGGATCTAGACAGTTAAAGATTCACTAGCTTAACTATCCCACTCATAACTTAGAGTTGGCAGCAGTTGTCTTTGCTTTGAAATGCTAGAGGTATTACTTGCATGGTGAGAGATTCAAGGTGTTCTTGGATTACAAGAGTCTCAAGTACCTTTTCTTTCAGAAGGACTTGAATAATAGACAAAGACGATGGGTTAAGTACGTGGACAACTATGATTTTGATTTATAGTATCATCCGGGTAAGGCAAATGTGGTAGCAGATACCTTAAGCCAAAAATCTCATGGAGCTTTAGTTAGGTTAGCCATTCGGAAGTGGAAGATGTTAGAGGATCTGGCAGAGATGGGATTACAGTGTTATAATGATAGAGTTGGCAATGAGTCTGCTTTTCTGTTTAGTCTTCTAGCTCAGCCAACTTTTGTCACACGGGTAATTGAGTCACAGAGATAGGATTCAGATTTAGCTGTTATTCATCAGTTGATTTCAGGTAGGGATATAGTCAAAAACTAGAACTTACACACAAATGGTGGTTTACGGTTCAGAGATCTGGTTATGGTTCTTACAGTTTGTCGGGAGAATGTATTATGGGAGTTTCACATTTCTCATTTTACAGTTAATCCAAGTTGTACCAAGATGTATCACAATTTAAGATGACAATATTGGTAGAATGGGATGAAGAAGGATGTGGTTCAGTTTGTTGCTAGATATCTTACCTGTCAGCTGGTAAAGATAGAGTATCAAAGACCCACAGGTTTACTATAACCATTCCTTGTAGCGCAATGGAAGTGGGAGTGTATTACCATAGACTTTATGATAGGGCTTCCGAGGTCACAGAGGGGTAATAAGGCTGTATAGGTCGTTATTAACAGATTAACCAAGACGCCTCACTTTTTGCCTGTTAAGGCAATAGATATTGCTGAGGCACTTGGCAGAATGTATGCCAAGCAGATAGTGAGATTGCATGAGGTTCTAGTGTCCATTGTTTTGGACAGGGATGCCAAGTTCACATCAAAATTCTGGGAAGGACTTCATACAGCATTTGGTTCACCGTTGCATTTCAGTACAGTATTCCAACTTCAGACGAAAGCCAATTAGTGTATACTATCCAAATCTTGAACGATATGCTTTGGGCCTACGTACTTAATTTTGGTGGTAGTTGGGAGGATCATTTACCTCTTTTTGAGGCACTGTATGGTAGGTCGTGTCGTTCTCATTAATAAGTGCTTAAATGTTGCACATTTTAGCACCTAAACTAGGGTATTTTAATCCATTCATCTATCTTACTTTCTCGTTTTAGTTCAAATTCTTGTTTTTGTCTATTTCAGGTCAATAAGTTTCAAACAGGCTAAAAACAGCCTATTAAGCCCTTTTTGGAATCAAGAAGAAAATCTGGAAAAAGTTTAAAAATTTGCCCCGGAGCATTTTCAAACGATCGAAAATTCATCCACGATCGATCAAAGGTTGGCGATCCATCGAAGCTACGTCAATAGAGGGATAAGACTGCCACCTCATCATGCGTTCCAAGTGGCGATCGATCGAAGCTTTTGGCGATCAATCGCAATGCCACATCAATGCCAACTAAGCAGATAAGGTTGCCAATTGTCAAGATAAGTATGCCACATCATTCACGATCGATCGAAGTACTTCATGATCCATTGAATACCCTAGCGATCGATCGAAATCATGCTGGCAGTGAGCTGTTTAACTTTCGAGCGTGCCCAAATTTCACCTAACTTTTGGCTGTGGGATTAGACCAATAAAAGGCTATTTTCTGACTTATTCACTACACAAAGGGGCTTAAATTTAAATCAAATTGAACCAATTGTATAGGTTTCCATGTTTTATTCCAATTTTTGTTACATTTTACATAACTAGACATAATTTCTCTCTCTAGAGATTAGGGTTCTTGAGCAAGAGAAGAGGCAAAAAAAGAGCAAGAAGATGAATTTAACCATGAAGATAGCCTTTGAGGGTTGCAAGACAACATCCATGAGTGGCTAGATCCTCCTCTTAGGGCTTGGAAGAACCCTAGGCTTGCCTTCTAAAACTCTAGCTCTTTGATATTTCTAGGGATTTTTGTTGTAAATAATGTATTGACCTTGTGATTTACATGGTTCAATCCTTCCAATTAATCTTCCAATTTGTTTACATATCTATGTGTGATGAAATGGATGATTATGTCTCTATACTAGATTTTATAAATTTGATGCATGTCTATGTGTGTTTGAATTGTGAATCTAGTGATTGTTATGCATAGTGCTTTTGGATACACTTGTGGTTGATTTGATGGGTTATGCTTGTACTTGATGGATTGTTCTACAACCTTAGTTAATTAGCTTAATTTCCTTGTCATTAGTGTAATTGTAGTGTAATTTCATTTAAATTACTAGATCGGTAGACAATCCATGCTTGTATTTGATAATCTATGCTTATTGTTACAAGATGTACATTTCTCTAGATTGATGTGTGCTACAATTGTGGGTTTATTGAATGGTTATTGTCTTCACTTGATGGGTTGTGCTACACACTAGCCTAAGTAGACAATTCACACTTGTTTAGTCATCCATGATCATTATTTCAATTGTTGGCACACGCTTGGTTTACAACATTGAATTTCCCTCAAATTTGTCAAAGACTAATGGTTTAAAAGAAGAGTTTAGTGGTGATTCCAATGCCCTAAGACCTCTCCCCTATTCTCTCACCCTAATCAATTTTAGCTTATTTTTACATTGCATGCTTTCAATTCAATAGTAGTTTAATTAAACCAACCAAACCCACTCCCTTGATCATTCGACCTACTAATCCGAATTTAATTCTGAATACGCATGTGGTCTCTTAGGATGATCCCTACTCCTATGCTACACTAGTAGTAGTAGTAGTGGTTTTACAAATTTAAATTTGACAAAAAAGGTTAAACCACACTCGTAATTTGATCATTGTGAAGCGACTAGTAATCAGAATGTGTCACTCATGTTTGTTAGACTTAGGTACGCGAGACAGCTGTATTAAGACCCGATATTGTTTTGGATACTACGAAAAAATTAAGTTGATTCGGCAGAGATTGCTTATAGCGCAGAGCCGACAAAAAAGTTATGTAGTTAGGCGGAGATGTCCATTATCCTTTGAGGTGGGAGACCATGTGTTTCTTATGGTTTCTCCATGAAAAGGATTGTTACGGTTTGGAAAGAGTGGCAAGTTGTTACCTTGTTTTATTGGGCAGTTTGAGGATCGTGTAGGCGAGGTTGCTTACAGGTTAGCTTTGCCACCATAGATGGACAGAGTCCATGATGTGTTTTATGTTTCAATGTTACGGAAGTATGAGCCGAATCCATCTTCCGTGTTGAGTTGGGTAGATGTTGATATTGATAAGGATATTTCTTACGAGGAGGAACCTGTTAAAATTCTTGACACTCAGGATAAAGTGTAAAGGGGTAAGACGGTATTTCTCGTGAAGGTTTTGTGGTGACACTATGGTGTCAAGTAAGCTACTTGGGAACAAGAGCAGGATGTTCATTGCATATGTCTGATTTTGTTTTCTTCCCCAAGTATGACTTGATTTCAGGGACAAAATCTATGACAGCCCAAGTTTTGTAACTCGGTGCGTCAGTGATGACCCAAAAGTTGACCCGGTAACGGATCCAAAATGCGAAAGCGAAAGATAAAATAAAGGTCTCTAGAGATATACATCATCCCTAGGACACCCATGTGACCTTCCACGAAGTCACAGAACTTAAAGAGAGTGAAAGAGCAAACGAGAGTCGAAACGGGTAAAATTCGTTAATCAAGGGGCAAAATGGTTAATTCATAAATAAAAAGAGAAAATTAACTCTAAACAAGTCAAACAAGGTGAATACAACCTAATCTAATCATTTCACAACATTCCAAGAGGTTATAAGAACTTTGACAAAGAATCCCACAAAAATGCCCTTTCTCAGTTTAAGCGAAAACTGACACTACCTCACTAAAACATGAATAACTCTCACTCTGATTTGAATCTGAGAATGGAATTGATACCATTGGAAATCTAACTCAAAATCCTTGAGTTTAGGCTCAAGAATCAGCCCATTTGGATTAGAAATGAAGAAGTTATGACCGTTTGAAGTCGAAACATCAATACTAAAACGAAATCTAGAAGGCTAGTGTATGAGAGCAATTTTGGTCGACCGAAATGGACTTTTGGACGACCAAAATCGACAAAAACTTTCTTGAAATCTGGTTTTTGAGGGAAGGTCACTTCGGTAGACCAAAATAAGGCATCGGTCGACCGAAATAAGCCTAAATAGTGAAAATGGCTACTGGAATGTGTATTCTTTTTACGGCCTTGGTTTTTAGGCCAGTGCATCAGTGATGAATCGAAAGGATGATCCGATAATAGATCCAAAATGTGAAAGTGAAAACTGAAAACAAGACTCTAAGAAGTCAAAGTGACCTTTCATGAGGTCATGCAACTCAATGAGAACTGACGCAGAAACAAAAGATCGAAAATATGACAAATAAGCCCCAAGGGAAATGGTAATTTTTTAAAACAATGGATTCAGGTGCCACCGAGCACACCTCTGGAAAGATAACAAAAAACTAATTAAGATGGACTCAAGAATTGCATGATTCGGAGTCCGGACGAAGGCGAAACGACATGACAAAGAAAAACGAGCACTTAAGGCAAAAAGGGTAAACTGGCAATTATCCAGGAAGATCCTGGTGCCATCGAGCACACCGTTGGAAATACAGCGAAAAATTAGTCAAGTTAAAAAAAAAGTTTACTCAATTTGGAGTCCGGACGAAGGAGAACGAGCGAACATAAAAGTCGACGTCATGACGTTGAGACGAGCACCCCACGAGCACACCGACAAGCACCATGACATGCTAGGAAAGAAAACAATTCAGCCAGAACTGAGAGCCGAAACGAGGTCCGAAATGAATTTTTCTGGAAAAGTATGAAGAAGAAACCTCCCTAAAATCGAGTTTTCTACCCGAATGTTCGGAAGGAAACGAAAAGACACACTACGAAATCCCCAAAATGCCCCTAGATCAGA